TCACCACAATCTTGACAATATTGAACTAAAAGAAAGGCTTTTTAGTGGAATAGCCAATATATATACCATGAAACTATATTACATGCAATTTATCACAATTTATTCATTTTACACATAATATGCAAAGTACAATATATGTAGCCCGTAATTTCACATGCTCCAAATCAATCATTGTTTGATCTTCGTAAAATCCGAATCTATTTGTGCAATTCAACAACAGAATATGAATATGCAACACAAATAATCTCACATCGAAGAAAACCTGAATCAAATGCTAAACTCTCGAATTGTGAAAAAGATCTCTCTTTACCACCCGAGCATTGTGCTAACATCAACAAGTCCATGCCGAACACGATATTAGAGGAAAAATCACCACGCTTTGGTTCTATCGGTGTAATCATCTCTACAATGATCACTTTTCCTTTTTCTGGTAGAGACTTCCAACAATTCTTTAGTATCTTTATACAATGTTCGTCCGTCCAATCATGTAGTATCCACTACCAATAATTTAACAATTTTATTTCAGAAATAATGTACTTAAATATCCTTGAAGATATAATTGTTTTTGTTCAAATATATTTATAAACTTACTTTCATAAAGATAGCATCTCCCTTTGGAACTTCTATAAACATGTCTCCGGATACATGCTCGACTCCTATATATAATTAGGAAAATTTTAAACAAAACAAAAGTTTTAAAGAGGCAATAATTAAAATTTGCACTTCAATATAAACCTTATCAAGTATACTAAATAGTTGTGTACCTGGATAAAAAGGAGCATGGGTTAAAACCTGAGCTAAGTCAAAATTAACACCTTTGATATGAGGATATTTTGAAGTGACTAGACCTAATATGGATCCAGTTGCTCCTCCTACATCAACCAAAGTGTTAACATCTTCAAATCCTCTGTAAACTTCTAGAACCTTCTTCATGACCATCGTGGCAGATTCCGACATTGCCTTGTGAAACAGCCTGGCAAATTGGTGATCGGAACCCATGTATTCGAAAATTGGCATGCCATGTGCAGAACTGAATGCATCTTTTCCTTCTAGTATCACATCTTTGAGATTTGTCCTAT